AAATAGAGCAGAGAGCAAATTTTCATTGTCTATCGCAACATTTCACTTTCGTACTTTTCGTATCTTTTTAGGCTTTTATGTACAATTGTAAAGGTGCAGAAATGTTCTTCGAAATTTTCCTCATTTAGCAAACACATACTTGATACATATAAACTACAAAATTTTTACTTCAAGTAAATGTTTACTTGACAGATCAAGATTTCAGTTCTGAAATTTTTCATCGTTTTCCTCACATGTTGGACAGTGCTCCAATTTATTTTCGCACGTATTTTCATTATGTAGAAGCATTTGTAATTCTATGCAATCAATAAGACATAAAATTTGCAGAAACAACTCAATATTCGGTCGGTCAAGTTTTTAAAGTTGTAGCATCTCCTTAAAAGCGTATGCGCAAGCACGTTAACATCATGATCGTGCAGTGTACGCTTTCTTGAATATGACGTTTTTGATGTTTTTGTTTTTTTTTTCTTTTTTTTAGAAATTGTTATCACGAGCAACTATAATCGAATATCGGTGATATATATACAGATTTCAAATCAGCGGATATTCCCAATTCGAAGGTTAGAGGTTACAGGTCGGCTATTGTAGAAATACAGTTGCCGTTCTCTCGAACAGGCTGGTAAACGTCGAACTAGCCGAACGCACCGGCGAGAAAATATAACTCATACGTAACACGTATGCATGCATGCACACACGTACGCACGCACGCACGGACGCTCGCTCTGTCCCTTTTTACGATTGTCAATTCTACGTCGAGCCGTAAGGTCGCGATAAATCTCGAAGCGCGCCGTTCGATACGGGGGATGAAACGGTATGCCGGTCTCGTGATTGGCATTTCGTGGCCCGTAACTGCGCGCGCGTTTGTTTTTTGAGATACGTGCGCCCTGCAGCCTGTTGGAAAATACAGTTTATTATTGCCGCAAAGGCAAATGCAGTCGCCGCAAAAAGCGACGTATTTTTCGCCCAAGCATTCAACGAAGTTGTCCGCGCCGCGTAATTACGCGAATTGTAATTACGCGGATCGTTATTAAAAGGGAGCGGGGCGAAATTTTCGCGGTGAAATTTAGAATGATATCCGATCTTTGCTTGCTTTCTAAACGCACTAACTAACGTTCTCGCGTTAATTTGTTCGCGCATAGATCCCGCTCGGAGGCTCAAGATTCAATTTTATACCCAGGTAGATTTTCATGATTATTACTATGTGAAACAATTAATGATGACAATCTTTATAATTTTTTTATTACATTTTGCAAATATTGTATCGAATTAATCGTTAAATTTGAATTATAATGTAAATATTTATTATATTAATGCAGCGACTAATTTATTAAAAATTTATTAAAAATCATATTCAAATTTTATTAAAAGTTACATTCAGATTTCACTAGAAATTCTACTCAGATTTTCATATTGCATTTTACATGACATGTTTTGAATAAATTTTAACAATCCTTCCGTATTTATTTCCAATTTTTTATCTTATATAATAAATATGAATGCCATATGGATCATTTATAAGAAATATAACCTTTAAAAATCGATTAATAATTGCTTTCAAGTTTACGTACACTTGTCTATCTATTTGGATACATCTTGTAGATAAAAGCGGTCGCTGAGAACACAATTGGTATCACAATTGAAAAAAGAAATCTTAATATCTGTGCGCGATTTACCGGCCATCGATTTTAATATTACCGCGCACCCTTGTATACAGTATTCGCAAATAAAGCGGACGAGTTCCAGCGGAGGTAGCTTAAAATACGATCGTCTTTAGAGAACGGAAATGCCCGGTATACTCGCAACTGCGAGGGAGGACCCAGTGTGAGATGGCTTTCGTGCGACCGCCGGCGTAAAAGCGAGCAGCTCGGCTTTGGGGAACAACTGCAGCAGCTGTGAAAAAGCAAGTGCTGCTGTAAAGCGCGCGGCCTTCTTCTACACGCCAACGTGTCGTGGCTATTTCTTCCTCTTTGTCGCGTTCCCGCATCGCACAAAAATCTCCCCGGACATCTTCGACTGCTTTGCTTTGCTTGCGAACATAGCGCGTCTCGTTAGAAAATTTTCAGCAAATTAACATCACTTACAAATAAAACTCCTAATCACCTTGTTAGCTATTTAACTTTGATGCTGAGGCTTTTATGAAAAATGCAACTTGCTACGTTGCACATAACACTCAAAAGACGAAACATCAGCGAATCGAACTTAATCTTAGCGCATTTTCTCGCAGAGCTCGCTTCATCGATTGCTCGAATCTGATCCCGCGCGAATGTCTTACGCAACGCTTATTCCGCCTCGCTCGCGATCCACGAGCATGATGCATAACCGTCGGTGCGCGAATTCGGGGGAATCATAGCATAAAGCGTTTAAAAGGGGGCCGTAGCGAGGTAAGTAATTCGAAACGCACAATAGCGGACGGGCGTTTTCTTATTGCACGGCGGGTGACTCGGGTCGGGATTGTTGTTGACACATTCGGGACGAAACGAGACGCGAGATGCATTATCAAGCGCCGAAATACGCGCTCGTCGCACCCCCTCTGTACACGCGGCTACGTACGAGCACGCATAAATGGGCTCTTACCCTTCGGCAAAGCGCAAAGCGAATGCATATTGACTCGCGACATTTCTGTAGACCAGATTTCACGTAGAGCACTCTCTCGCATTCGCACGTACGCTCACGTGCGCGTATGTCGTGTATGTGTGTGCGTGCAACGTAGCAAGTGTGTGACTGCAGAATCGAGCACCGCTTCGGAATTGGTTTCCCTTATTCGTCGCGCCGCCATTAAGACGTGTGTACGTTAGCCGCCTTCGTCGACGACGGTTCTTAGCAGCGTTTAGACGAGCCTTAGGAAGTGGCGACCGATTGGGGCGACTGTCGAGCGCGTGGAATCTCAATGAGTTACCCTTCCCCCTCCCCCTATACGGTTTCGTTTACGTCACCTAATTATCATATTCGAATTCCGCAGCTGGCTGTGAGACGCATTTGTATGCTAATACGCGCACGGCTGCGTTTGACAGTAATTCTCGCTAACCCGTTTCCCCGTTATTCGATCGCGTTAAATCCTTATCGGCGCGATTTCCCTTTTAACGCAATCTCTGGCGGCGGTTATCACGACTGTGGTTTCGCGAGCGCGCGCTCGGAGCGCCGGAAAAGCGAGGATGCGCGCGGTTTACGCATGAAAACGGCCGCGGATCTTTCGGTAAAGCGGAAAATGATTTGTATGCATGCGAGGTTAACACGGCGTAAAGAGAGTTCTCCGCTCGTTATGCAAGCCGAGTTGCGTTTAAGCGGGTAGTTTTATTAAAAAATACCCGAGCTAAAGATCGCAAAGGGGTTAAAATCTCGTTCCCCCCCCCCCCTTTCTCCGGCTGCTCTTTCATTTTTGCCCGGGAACGCGCTAATGTAATCCGAACCGGCGGTGGTGGCAAACGAAGGAAGAAATACCCAGCGGGGACTTGGAAATTAGCACAAAGATATAACTGGGATCTATCCCTTCCAGCAAAGAAATCACGAAAGGTAGAACGATTTATTTCGGTTTCTACGGTGACCCGTATCGATTGCGCTCACATGTTCGCGGGAATCGATTTGTTCACAAGTCGAAGTTTTGGCTCTGCAAATTCCATTGATTTCAGAGAACCCTGTACATACTATTGTCCTATTCTGATTTTATGTTTCAAATGATTACTTAGCGTCATTTTTTCCATATTAGATTATTAAAAAAGGCTCGTCTCAGAATTATTTAATATTTAATATTCGATTATTTCAATATTCTACCTGCACATTTAATCCTCATTCTTAATTTCAATAAATGTATAATCAATAATTATATAACTTATTTAACTGTGCGGCAGAATATGCATGATAAGCGAATATTTAATGATTTAATAAAAATTAATATGTTAATGCAGAATATATTGAAAGAATATATTGAATATATAGAGTATTAAATAATTTTTGAACGAGTACTTTTTCGAGTTTTTTTTTAACACAGAGGAAACGGCAGTAAGGAACCATTTGTAACATCAAAATAGATAATAGCCTATGTAGTATTAAGTCTCGAGATTCTTCATTAGTTTTGCAGATTTAATGGAATTTATAGGATTAATATAGAACCAAAATCTCTCGGGTCGAGAAGCGTCGTATATTAACTGTAATTTTGCTAAATAAAATTCACGGGACGGGATGTTTTAATAGTACCGCGTCGCGAGTCACAGATTAACCCAATTAATATCTATTTTCATTTCGTCATTTCCCCAATCTTCGTCGTGAGAGAAGAGATACTTTTAGTCACGTCGTTGCGCACCAACGCCACTTAACTCAATGTTGCTCCCGTCAAAAACGATCAACGTCGTAAATTTCACTACTTCCCTCCTTCTCGTTCTCTTTGCTCGCTTATCCGGGATTTGTATCCCGCGTCCACTTTTTCCTCACGGAACGTCGAGTTGCAGGAGCGTTTCGATGCCCAGCGGAAAAGTGAACCCGCCCCTCCTCGCTCGTCTTTCTTCCCACTGGGAGGGTTTTAATTTATCGCGCAACAGCCTGTAACACGGGCTTGTGGAATTCGAGCAGTTTTTCGCAGTACGTGGTTACGCTGAAAGAAGTGGCCGCGAGTCGCCGCAGACGCGCGAAAGAAACCCTTGAAATGACCGCGATATTGCACGTACCGTGTCGGACGCGTGTCGCATACGAATGAAAGCCGCCGTTTCCTCAAGTACTTACTTAAGGTGTGTTCATTCGGTCTACCTTTCCACCACGCTGTTTCGTCGGACGCGCAATTGAGCGTTATGCGTGTACCGTGAATAAAAATTCCGCATCGTGTGTAATGTCGCAGTTAGATAACGTTCGTTAGGACGGAAGGATCAAGTGGAAACGTTCCGAGCGAGTCTCATCTCGGCGGAGAATATCCTTGGATATTCGGAAATGGGAGACACATTGGCGAACCATCCACGGGGTCGTTTTTCGCGACGAGCAGTTCGACATCGTTCGCGACGCTCATGAGCACTTACTTGTAAGGAAGAAGCACCGCCGTGAAGTTGATGGCGATGGAGATCCGCGGGCCAGAGGTGATTAGGTACCGGCAACGGATATTCGGCGGATATAGCCCGGGATATCCGGGACTAGCTAGGACGCATCCGTCGTGGCAGTCTATGTCCTCGTACACGGAGTCGCATTCTGCAAGCAGAAACACGGAACTTTGTTCGCCTTTTCCGGTTTTCATATTAAATATACGAATCAATCATTTTCCCGTGTATTCTTTCAAGTTGAATCAGTGAAACAGTATACCTGTTCTAACATTATACACACACACATATATTTCAGGCAAAAATACCTTACCGTCCGTTCAGTGCATGCCTATATTTTACTAATTATATTTTAATATTTTATGTCAGTCCATTTTAATATTCTAAGAAAAGTGCAGTAAAAGATTTCACCGTATTTCTCATCAATCGTCGCTATCATGTAAGAAACGATTTGAAGGCGACGGTCGATTCTTGATATTCAGGAATCAAATTCTGTAAAGGTCCGGTCTTATTCCTATTTTAATTCAAGACAGATATCCGACTGTATATTCCGCGCGATCAGCGAACCTATCTTTGCAAACTGGCCAAGACGTGTAATCAATGCCATTTAAAACGACGCGGGTCATCCACCTCAATTTCCGGCGGTGAGCTTCGCCGAGCGCGAACGATTTGCAGAAGGCCAAAAATAATTAATACGTCTGGTGGCTTCGTGAAAAATCCGGAAAATGGAGAACGGGCAGATGCGTAAACGACAACGCTCGCTGGCCAATTAGAACCGGCTAACGAGACGCTTTCGAGCTCTCGCGCGCGCGCGCGAGACCTTTTCAATTAATATTTTCGGGACGCAACCCGGAACGCTGGTGGCTATGCGTTACGGATTATTTGATGTATGACCCCGATTACCGATTCAGCTGCGGGTCTCGAGTTCACAGAACGTCAATATTGTCGTTTGCATTTCGGTGATTATCGCAATTTGAATTGTACGCAAGGCATTCTCGACGAATAATGCAAATTTGCACGCGGAAGCGGCGGTCCTTTCGAGGCGCGTCATTATTCGCGCGATCAGTTAATTTTTCCTCTTCTCGAGGCGATGGCTTCAAGCGCGGGTAACCATCGCGGCGATAAAGCAAACGCGCTCGTTAAACACCGGTAACGGCGATATCCCATATTGGCGACTAAAAGACTCGTAACAATGCAATTTATTGCGAGTCGATACTCGTTATTAGCCAATATCCGCATTGTGTGCGAAAATACCGAAGTTCAAAGCCGCTTCCGAATAGGCAAATCAATGCATCCGCACTGATTGTTGTAATATTCAAACAGTGATTGACAATCCGTTATGCCCGTACCCAATTATTCCACTTCCACATTCGCGTAACGTTCGCGTAATTTTACGCATAATGGACTCGTATTTATTACTGTCAGCTGCATGCAAATGCGAAAAAGGCATTAATATCACTTTAATATCACGGCGACACGTGAGGTTTGTTTAATAGCACAGAGGCACTTTTATCGTGTCCGTTATACGCCCGACGACAAAGAGTTTTGACGCGTTCTATAAGCTCTCGGCGATTCTATTCGCGTCCCCGTTCCAGCCGGACGCGCTATCTTTTCCCTTTCCCCCTTAACACGAAAAGAAAAAAGGAACGAGGAAGAGAAAGAGAGACAGGAAACGAGCGTTGCTGTCAACCATCTTTCCGGAGTTTTTTTTGTTTAGCTTTATAGAGCCGACGTATGCAATTGTCATAATGGGCGGACTCGTTAGATACGGCGAACGTCCACCTTTGGGCGGTCGGCTTTCTCGATATCTGTAATGCCCATCGTATCCGTTAACCCTCCTACCCTCTCCCCAGGCTTCCCTACGGGAAAACCGCCCAAACTCTTCTTCGGCGCACAACCGTTTTTACCGTTAACGACCCCGCCCTTTTCCTACTTTGAAGCGCGGAATTTTTCGCGCCAAGTCCGCCTGTCCTGCGAGGCGTTTCTCGCTCGCACTTTCTTCGTGCCGCTAATTGAAATTCTTACGATCGATTAAATCGGCCAGCCGAGCGGGAGCGAAGGTCGCAGCGAGACGGCGAGCGGAGAACCGTCGGGCTCGCTGATTATTTGATAACAAGCGCGGTGCGTCGCTCTCGCACAGCTAGTACCTATTTCTTAAACGCAACGAGCGCGCGCGATCAGTTGTTCGGGTAATTGGACAACCGTGTAGTTAATCGGTGTTTGGCCTTTTAAAAAAGTCCCGAGCTCCCGTTAATTGTACGTGTAATTGAAAGTATCGAGTTTTATTATCCGCCCGCCGGTTTGCTCAAAAAGTTGCCTCGTTAGCGCGGACGCGCCTCAAACAGATACTGCGCGCTGCTCGCGCGGACCCCGTGCTAATGACATCAAAGTAAAAGTTTCGCGACAGCGTGCGGGATACTGGTGGCCCCTGGCGGGGAACCCGTTCGCCCGTCGTCGTTGTTTTTCATGTTTAACGCCGGCAAATGGCATCCCGCTCAGGGACTTCGAATGAAGATCGCAAATCGGGATGTTCCGCGAAAATCAGAATGGTTGGTCACCCCATTCGGAACGGACCGATGAGCTTTCACGCGGCGATGAAGTCGAGTTTCCGTCGAGTCGTGCAAGAACGACGGCGCTTTCTACGCGTGTTACCGCAGCGATAAAGCCGCGAGGACTGTTGCGAAATGGAAAAGCGAAGATAAATGAGAAAAACGCACGCAACTGTTGCCTCTCTCCTCCCTTCCTCCCCCTACTCGGTGCGAAAACATTTACTTTGCGTGATAACGTTGCGTGATAACGGCTAATGAAAATGTCGTCAGCCGATCTTTCGTAAGCGGGCGCAATTACCCATGTTGGATGCACTACGGCTGAGGAACTTACCCCCGTCTCTCTTTGCTCTCCAGTCCGCATCCCCATCCCGTCCGTCCGGTGCGTTCAGAGAGCGCAAAGGTGAAACGTTTTAATGCGGCGACAGAGGGGAGAGAAAGTGAGGGCTCTATGTAAATGCTCGCGGAAGACGCGCGAAGGAGAATCCTGCTTCGTGGGCGCGTCGTAACGAACCCTGAGATGGGAATGCCATGAGAAAGAAAAAAAGATAGAAAAAAGAAGGAGGGAGAGAGAAACGAAAAGAATGTTCGTTCCTTCCGCGCGCAGTTTCACGGAGTTTCCGCGATTCGACGAAATTTTTCCACGGTGCTCGCTCTTTATTTTCGCTCCATTCACACTCACGAAGTAACGTACGGCGGCGATGGAGCGAAGCGGTTCTCTCTCTCTCTTTCTCTCTTACCTCATCCCAAAACATCGCGCACCGCGTTTCAAGCGGGAAAGCTACGAAAATTGCATAGGCGTTTGTTACGCCGAAGGCGTGCAGAGGAGAATAAAAACAACGATGTGAGAAGGAATAGGCGCAATTAACTTTTCGTCGGAAAATGGCCGGTCTCTGAATAAACGCGCGGCAGCGCTCTCCGCGCGTGCTGGCTGCCTCGTAAAATTCGAACTGAAATGACCCTGACTGACGTGAATTTCTAGTTGCGTGGTATTCGGCGTCAATTATTAAGTGTATTAACTAAATGTCTGTGCGCGCGTGCATATGCGTGTTTATAAAGTGATCTTCCTACGTGACGGACTCCGTGGCTTTAATTTAGTAGGACGGTTTTTATCGAAATTCACGGACAATCGTTGACCGTCTGACGATATGTTTCGGCCTTTAAACGAATAATAACGCGGGAAATCGTGGGAGAACGTAGTGAAATGGGACGTGAATCTCCCGCGGTGATACTCCGCCCGGCATTTCGATGCAAATGTTTGCCGACACGTTTTACTTCGCGAATAGATATCCGTGAATTGGAAAATTAGATGTCGCACGCCTGCGTTATGCGTTATTGAAATAGAGCTTCGCGTATGTATTGAGAGCCGCATCGCGCATGTACGTTCAGCCAATTACAGATTCGCGAGATGAAAAAGATCCCAAGGGGCTATTCAACGATTATGTCAGGCTAAATTTAGGCTTTTTTACTCCCTCCTCCCCTTTGTCACAATTTCACAAAGTATTTGCTCCCTTCCAATATTACGTGACATACGGAATTACCTCCTCAACTCCGCCGACAAATAGAATAAACAAAATAGCTTATAACCATATTGTAAGTAATAAGTAATATTAGACTGTACGCTATTATCTTTTCTAAAATACAAATAATTTTTAGGTATATGATATCGAATTGATTATTTTATTTTATAATTTTGATTAGTAAAAGTTGTTCTTAAGAGAATAAATATTTGGAAATTCATATTTTGATTAACACACATCCTCTCCCTCCCTGCCATCACAGGCCGTTATGCAAGCTAATAGACCTCTTGCCTCTTGTGGTGTGACGTAATTATTGATTGACCCCTAAAGACGCGTCGCAGACGACTTATCGGAATGTAATTATGTGCGATTCGTTTTATTTGTTTCGGAGAAATACTTGGGCGCATTCACTTTCTTAATAACTCTCCGGCGTCGTCGGTAATTATATGCTTTAATTATAGTCCCCTTAATACATAAATAAGATAAGAGACGAGATCCGCTGGAATTTCAGTGGAACAGGCACGTGAAATAAATAACGCGGCGGAATCTTCTGCTGGAATTTCAGCGGAATAATCTATCTTAAATGCGCCGGCTAAAAGCGCTTCTCTCCTGTAAGTGCACTTTATGTGACCGTGGGATTGTACCAAAAGGAAGAGGAGAAATAGAACCGAGGGACGGTGCGACGCGGCGCAAGCTTGTAAATCGGTCGGACTTCTTACTGGCAATTGGTCGCTTTGTCAATTGAGCAACATCTACTTTGTCCTTCAATTCATTACGTTTCTTATACCGTATTCGATGTACCGTTCGCCGTATATATCGATATCCTATTTCTCAAGTCTTAAATATTCTTCGTACGTTGACGCAACGATAGACAAATAGACGCGATTTCGAAGAAGTTTCTCCAGCTATGACGCGCGAATTGTCAATGAAATTCAATTATCTCATTGAGGTACACCACCTTTGAGAGTTTAAAATGATAGGTAACTTTGTACATTTTTCTCAGAGAAAATCTTTAGTATAGGAGGATATTTGTAAAATACTCTTATAAATTATACTTTTGTCTATAAAAGAATATATTTTGGAAATGTCTTCCTGTATTGAATATTTTCCTTGAGAGAAATTCGTAAAGTTACCTATCATTTTGGGCTCTCAGAGACGGTACAAGCCCTTAAAGACGCGGGTAGAATAGCTATATTAAGAATGTTCCCTCTGCCGCGACTACATACATATAAAAGACAAATCAGCACGTTCTGAAAATAATATTCCCTTTAGACGCGATAACCTTCCTCCCTTCCTCCGTCGCACAATAGCTACCTCCTTTTATAAATCACCTCGGAACACCGGCCAGTTCCGAACGGGAGATAAATTTCGAGAGCGGAAGAGAGCCGACTTCCCTCGTCGGGCGAGCGCGCGGCTTGCGTAAATGCACGTGTGGGGAAACCATGAGAGAGAGAGAGAGAGAGAAAGTGTCGGAGCCAGGTCGAGCGGTAAGACTGCGGATCGTCTTTCCACCCACGATTGATCTGTTTGTCAATCGGGCGGTGCCTTCGTCCGCTGCTCTTCCTCGCTCTCCTCGTCGAGCACACCCTTTCCTCTTCCTCTGCGTCACGTCTCTCCGTCCGTGCCTCTCGCACGTTTCCCAATAGGACGAGGGCCGCCGACCGTGTGCCAACGCCAAAAAAGACCTCTCTCATCTGGGTGGCGGAGTGACAGTCACGTCTCTCAGTCGTACGTCCCGCGCATATGGATCGCCGCGGCTTTCTCCCGGGGATAATCGAGAATCGTTGTCGTCTCGTTACAGCGCGCCCGTGAAGAGAAGCTTTCACAGGGTCGCTTTTACCGCCGACGTCGTTGCCATCGCAGCCGCGGTTCCTCCTTCGCGCGTTCCATCCTGCTTCTCTCGCGCCTTCCTGTCGTCACTTTCGACGCTTCCACTGCGATGCCTCAAAAGAAATTGTTGATTGCGCGATTACGCGTCTCCTTGGAATTCATGAGACGCGTCTGTCGTACGATCCCTCAGAGGCGCGCTTAAAGACGCGCTTGGAAATGGAGGTTTCTGGTTTTCCCCCCTTCTCCCTTTCTGTCCCTCTTCCTTTAATGTCACCGGCTAAAATCGAACTTACGTATGAGGCAGCTCCGCGTTGATGTTAAATAGAATAGAAAGAAGAGCCCCGCGAGAATATTTTACTTTATTCTCTCCCTGACGTGAATTTTTTCGAGCCCGTTAAAAATTAGAAAGCTGTACACGTGCCCTTAACTTACGTACGTGCGTAATACGGACGTGACGTTGGAAAATTTAGCCGAGAAATTTCGAATGAGTGCTTCCCCCTTAAAAGCGGCAAGAAACGAAATGTCGCGGAAACGTGTCCTTGTATGTTTTTATTACTCGCAGATTCGGCGCACCGGTCGCTCGCGAGCAACGTTGCCCGGCGAATGTGACGCGGCGGGTCAAAGAACCCTGGTGTGTCATTACACAATATTACTAGACGCGAAAAGTCCAAGACACACACACACACACACATATATGTACATACATCCGAAACTTTTCTCATAACGGCGTCGAGAGCAATTTTTTTAAAAGGGCTTTTCAATTTTCCCACTATCCAGCGCGCGCGCTCCGTAAAGCATACATCAGATTCGCGCTGGAAGATCGCTATGCGATCAAATAATAGTCACTGATCGATTGCAAATGACGAACGGACTGAGCGAACTGGGATTTGCGGGGAGCGTTCCATCGGGCGAACTTTCGGCGGAACGTAAATGCGATAAATCTCTCCGGCCCGAAAACCGCTTAAATTGCACTCGCCTGGCGGCACTCTCCGCAGAATAAAAGTCGCCGCCGGAGAATGGCGGAACAGCCGAACTCGGCTGCTTCGAGATAATCCCGGCTAAAGTCCACGACCGTTCCAAGACAACCCTAACCGGACAACTCCGCCGAGAAGCATCGACCGTATCGGAGATTAGAAACGTTCCGTGTTTAAAGATAGAGATTGCGTCGAAGGATCGAGCTTTACCTCCTTCGATCACGGCGGTTAAACGCGCTCGATGCTGCAGCAGTTCCCGTTCTCGCTCAAGCCCGGACTTATACTTTGTACTCCTTATGAGTGAGAAACGAAAGGTAACGTTCGGAATGACAATAAAGCATGTATTGTGCAAACAGGCACGCTTCAATTTTTCCAACGTCATACACAGCAATGACGCTGTAATCAACCGTTTTGAATTAAAGCTGTATACTTTCTTGTGGAAAAGACCGCACGAGTCCTTCCGCTTCCCTTTCTCTTGTTGCCTTCGTCCTCGTAGCGACTCTTTGATTTTCCACCTGAATGTTAGCAGACGATACTGAAAATTGCAAAGGCTCGACGAACATTCGCTTTAATCGAGTAAGACGAGCCACGACGACAACGTGTAATTTGATTTTGCGTGGAAAATTTGCGTCGGCAATTTTGCAAATACACTGTGAGACACCGCGACGATGTACGCGCGCTTTGACAAGTTAATTGAATAATTCGCTTCCTTCGTGACGTGTTCTTGCAAAGAGAGTCGGGCGAAACCGCCTCCTCCTTTTCTTGCCGGAAAACAGCCGTGCTCATCGATTAGCGAAACGGCCGCGAGAACCGCTTCTGCTATCGAAAGTCTCTCCGCGGAAAGCGGTTCCTCCTCTTCCTCCCCCGCGCAGGAAATTACAAGCGGCGAGTCGTACAATCGGACTTGGGTATCGCGAAAGTTTACTTTTGCTATTCGCGAATTCGCCCTTACCGGCGTGAAGAAAAAAACACGCTATCTGCGTTGCCTGCGGTTGAACATTTCGCGTGATAAGCCACACCACAGGGGTGTAATTTACAGGAAGATGAAGTTGCCGTCAAGGGAGCCGATAGCGAACTAGGTTGTTGGCGTGTAGTTTAAGCAATAGTCTATGATAGGAGCTGTCCGAAACAAGATGCGTTCGGGCGCGACCGGCCGACCGAGTTTACGTGGCACCATAATCTCACGTTGTCTAACAGATCGCCGCTTTCGTGATTGCTCTCTGACTTTGAGCATGGTGCATCGGATCCGTGATAACGAGGCTTTCTCCGTCGGTGCTAAAAATATCGACGAGAAATCTTGACGATTAACACATTTGCATCAGAAGCGAATACGTCCGTCCGTTTCGCCTGGTCGGTATCACGGTAATAAGTAATCGCAATTTCTTGCTGAAGATGGATCGAATCACAAAAATCTCTGATACGTAAAATGATAAAAAAAATTCCGACTCTCTAACTTTTAACGACGGTATCGTGGTCGTTGCGATGTTGGTGCGCAGCTTTTGCACTATATGTTTTACCTGCGTAACGACACTGTGGCGATAGCGACGCTATCGTTGAAAGTTAGAAAATCGACCTACAGGTATCAATTTTATTTGTTTTTCGTGTCTTTTTTTATAGTTTCAAAGTTTTGGAAAAAAATAACGTTTTTTCTACCAATTTTTCCGTGGATTTCTTCGATTTTTGTCCCAAGGATACAAAAATTCGTTAAAAAAAGTTCACGTGTGTCCGGTTAAAACCCGTCACATTTACTTTTTTTCCGTGAAGAAAGATAAGAAACCGAAAAAATCTGCGGAGAAATGGGGAAAAACGAGGTTTTTTCGAAATTCTAAAATTATAATATTTTTTATATCTGACTTTTATTTGTAACAAGGAAAACATTCAATTATAGGTACATTTTTCAAATCCCCTGATGATGGAGATAGATTAGCTAATATTTTATTTTCGAAATGTTGGATTTCTACCATTCGCTTTTCGTTAAGTTGTTTTTGATTGTCTACTGAGGAAACGAAACGAACACAAATCTTCCGTCGCTGACGGAGTATCGACCAGGCATACCCCTTCCGACCCCGACAACGAGATTCTCACAGCTCGATTACATCCGCAAAAATTCATTTCTCGGACGTCGTCGTAAAAGGAAGAAGAGAAAGAAAACAAAAGGACGGGAAGAGTCCGTCTGCCTCAGTCGTCGTAATCAACGGCGTGGTATAAAATAACGCGCGTTACGGGAACCCGGTTAAAAATACACGCACGCGAGAACCGAACGTTAAAACGCAACATAATTTCATTATTTATCACAAAGCGAACTAAACACCTTACCCGTGTTGTTAACCGGATGTCCGCCTCTCACCGGCCAGCCGACGGACGTGCTCGCTTTGGACGAGAAGCTGAAGTAGGCCAGGAACTGGGACCGCGTTGTGTTCTCGTTTATTCTGAAACAAGCACATTTCAGCATTGTACGATGATGGGGCGTGAGGGAGTGGTGTGTACTTCGTATGCGCACGTAGCAGCGCCCAGGTTTTATGCGTTGCGACAATAAAAGAAAGCATTAGCGTGATAAATTACTTTGGGGGCTCCCACCACCGCCTAGGCACGTCTCGCCGTCGTCTCGCCCTCGTCCCAGTGTCTGACCTGTGCTGGTCATGGTATTTACGACGGGATCTTGGCTTACGGCAGGCAAATTTACGGATTCTTTTCAAGTGATATACAGCGAATAACCGCGGGGTCGATGTAGTTCGCGCGATTTATTGCGGCCTGTTTTTGTCGTCATTCCGCATGCGGCTCGTAAATCACCGCGACCGATGCGCTTTTATTGACGGGCCGCTCTCTTGCCGGACACGCCGCGCCACCCGCGTTTCACCGATAGTCCCGTCAATAAAAAAGCCCTTCGAGCGGGCTCCAAGAAATTCGGTAGATATGAAACCGGGCGATTCGCGTCACGAGGAACAGCACTGATACCGTTGTCGGCTGTTATAAATCAACCGATCGCGCGCGCGCGCGCTCTCGTTTATTTGCTTTATCGGCAACATGGGGCGGGTGTGACGGATTTCTCGAAATACATCGGTACTTCGCCGGGATCATGTTTATTGATCAACATTCGTCGAGTACTCGGTGATTTCTACATGGAAAAAAAGGAGGAGAAAAAAAATTATGTTTTTCGCGCGTTTTCCTCAATTAAATTTCGAGCTATCGGCAAGTGTCCAATTGTCATCAAATTAGTCAGCGAGTTAATAGGAGGAGTCGTCCTCTCTGTATCCTCGAGCCATACTGCATCCGAAATGGGTGTCAATATGTCGTTGCGCGCAAGTTGCTCCCTCAGCAAGTCGGGCGTCCGAAAGTTTCGTTGTCGCGAACGACTGTAAGTCCGGAAACTTTCCTCTGTAGACGACAGAAGACTTGTATTTCGCAGTGCGAGAAGTCATCCTCTCGAGGAAGCGCCGTCGCGATGTTTCCTCGAGATTGATCGTAACGGAATCGTGGAGGGGATCGTTTGTCGCGTTTGAGAGCTGTTTAAGCAGGCACGGCATGTACTATTTCGTCGAATCGCAGGTTATCGATATCCGAACTTTGTCGTCGCGAGGGAACGAATTCGCCTGCGATCGTAGCTACGGTGTATATTAGGAAAGAGAGGAAGAGAGGAAGAAAGAGCCTGGGAAAGCGATATTCTTCAATCTTGAGTGAACAGAAGGTCGAGAGAATAATTTGAGCTAGTAAACCGGCGTAAAATTACATTACCAGAAATGACAAAAAATCAGCGATCAAATATGATAGACGAGTATTAACGAATTGTCTTCGAACAGACAATTATCTTTTTTTATTTAACACTATGCTCGTGACTATACATATGTCATATAACATATGCCGAGGCTATTAGAGCTGACTCCGTTATACCGAATAATTACCCTTACTTTTTTATGTGGAATTTATTCTGTGAGTTTCTCGATGGAGTTCGGATATGTGTCGTATATTGCGTTCAAGAATCCACGTAGTATTTCGTCGGTACCTTAAACGACTTCCCTCCTTCGCGCTCGAACGCTCCCTAATTTTCCATTCAAAGAGGCGCTTGTACATTTCCGGGAGTCATATATTCGCGGACGAGCCGCCGTCGCAATATCCGAGAGATCGTGTCTGCCGCTAAACCACAGTCAATTTCATGTCCCAGCGCCAATCCCGCGAACACAGTCCGGAGAATGTGGCGAGCGTAAGTCAGAAGTGACCGAGTGGAAGATGAGAAATGGACTAGCGGATAAGACGCCATCACGTGGTGGAGGAGGCGCTTCTAATTCGATTATTTAGTTAGGTCAGGTTAGCCGTAGTTGGGTTAGCGTCAGCTGGGGCCAAAGGTTACTCGAGGCACTCGTAACTCCTAATTGTATTTACGTACAATAAATCTTCTACCTTCGCCCCCCCCCCCCCCCCCCTCTCGTCAACCCTCGTATTTNAGCTGCCAATCCGGCGGCCACCCCTTCGCGCGCTACTGGTCGCGAAACTTGCGCTGTTTGTGGCCCGCCGGTCGCGTCACCGCGACTTACGGTGATTTTCTGATTAATTGGCCCTCGAACTTACGCTGAGTTTCACCCACTTTCCGAGAGCTAACTGACCCTTCCGCTGTTTGACGTTATTTACGATTCATGGTGGACCTTCCGCGGGTTATTCCCTAAGCGCGGCCTGGATGTCCCCTTTGTTATCCTTGCGAGTCTCTATTGACTTTCGTCGATTTGCGAAAATCGATACATACAGCCGTTACGCGCGAGACGTAAGACAGGTGTGCCGCAAAAAGCCATTAATCGTACGGACATCGTTTAATGTCGCCTCGGTGTTTCCATTTATTGCGATAAATATTAATAAAGCGGGCGATTTAAAGCTGCATAATTATAAATAATGATGTTTTGATGCAAATCTTGATTTATAAACTCCCCGGCCGTATATTTCCGGCGTACTTTTACGTACTAGGAGAGAGACGTGCGCGCTTTATGAGGGACTCCGTAAAATGTTACATCGATCGCGGTAGGACGAGGGTTAGCTCTCAAAGAAAGCCGAGGTTAAGCAAATCCCCGAGACGATGAAAGAAGACGGCGGTAATCCCGTTGGGGTTTGCGGAGATTAGGATGCAAATTTTGGTAAGCATTAGACGAAAGCGACGAAGGCACTCCGTAGCGAGGGGCAAAATCCTTTTCGGCATCTATCGAGACGTTAAACCGATTCAGTATGCCATTAAAGCAAGTTTATTCCCGCGGTCGGCGAGTCGATAGCCACGTTATGGCGAAACCGCGCGTAAATTTCTACGCAGATGCCCGCGAAAACCATGAGATGGGACTTATAAAGTTCCATGAAGCGAAATGCGAGGCGAAGCCTTCGAGGGTTTCACGAGCGTGGAATCACAATTTGTTCGCGACTCGAAGAAGAAAATTTCCGCTCTCGCCGTCGCCGCCGACGAGAGCGAGCAGCGAGACGACGGCGGGATTTTATGGCGCGCACAGATTTTAATCGCGGACGACAGATTTTACTACGCGCACATTACGAAATTCGCCCTCTCTCCATTTTTTTCTCTTCTTCTCGAAACGTCGTACGTTCCTTTTAAGAAGATTGCAAAATCGCTTCCGCGACTTTTTACGCGAGACTGTAAACGACGCGCGACGAGAGAGATTACGGCCTTGCAATTAACGGTTTAATTACAGCGACTGCCGATTAGCAGGCCCGTTGCGATATTTTTGTCATATTTTTCGTTATCCCGAGCCGAGTTCACTCGAAGGTTTGCGGGTCTGTCGGAAACTCCTTCGTTTTTACTGCAAACGTTTAGTGTCTCGAGACGTCGTCGCGGGGAAACTTCTCGGGGGGAGAGAGACGGCGCGGAGAGATGAAAATGTAAATTTTCGTAGCTCGTCGCTGATTCTCCAAGAAGTGCGCGTGCGTCGGTGCCGAGGGATGCATATTTCTCCGCGGACGTAAATTCTCATCAATCGGACAGAAAGAGTGAGACAAAGAGCGCGTCATCGCGCGTTATTTCTGCCTGCGACGGTGAGCCCGCGAAAATCTGCAGAAACTCGCGCATCTATCGAGCGACGCCTAATGAAGGTTAGATGCACTTCCGTCTGCGACACAAAAAGTTGACAAAGGAGTAATTCTGCGCGGAAAGAAAATAGAAGACTTTTTGTTTGCGAAGACGCGGCTCGACGGGGCGCGACCGAGAACGCGGAAGGAAAATACCGGCGCGGTTGAAGCGGACTTTGTTCCCCGCGATATGAATCTATCGTCTTCAATGCGTGGGACAACACCAACGACGAGAAAGAAGGAGAGAAAGTGAGAGGAAGAGGCAGAAAATGGGTTTCGAACGATAATAAAACATATCTTTTCGAGAGCTTGCTTCTCCTTTTGTGAGTTTACGAGATACCTTAGCGCAATGCAAGGGCCTGTCTTTTCACGGGAAATTGTTTACATTGTCCGATTCATTTAACGACGCGAATTGTGGGTGTTTCCCCCCGCGTGGCATCACGAAAAATCCGTGTCGTCGGACAGACACGCTTCTCGGTCTCACGATCCATCGGGCAATATCTGTTTTTACGCTTTAAAACCGAAGTTCGCGCGCTTCGTCGCCCGTCGTCGTCATCGTGGGAACTTTCGCCAGATACGACGATTTTTCCGAGACCGATATTCGAAAGTTTTCATGTAAAATCGCTCGCGAAAAAGCTATCCTCCGGCTAATAGCGAAGTTCGGGAATTATAAAGTATTTCGCACGCTCAAGTATACTGCCGCTTGTTTAGGGAAGTTCGTGTCGCGCCGTCGTCGCAGACGTGTGGATTTGCCCAATAACAGACTTACCGCTTTACTTTGGGAACAAAATTAAGGAGTCTGGACGTGCGCGCTCGCGCACACTCGGTAAAAGGTTTGCTAGTTCGTTACTGTAACGAACTTCTTCCCGCGATCTGATCCGAATTCCGATCGTGTTGGAAACCTTCGAAAATAAACTTTTCGCGCGGCGCCGTATTTGCACTGCTCTAGAAGTCTTATATCGCCTCGCTGGTGGTGAAAGAAAAAGGATATCGCGCGGAGGAAATTCGCTTAATTCGTACATATGTAGGAGACGATCGACGCGCGATGGCAAAAAGGTACAAAACTTCAGGAAATCTACGGGATGTTAAATTCAATCTTTGTTTATACTGTACAATCGCACGAGCAAACAAATCGAACGAGACGGAATAACAATCTAGCGAGGATAAGGTAGAAAAATATAAGAGAGAAGGAAAGATAGAGAGAGAGAGAGAGAGAGAGGAAAATAAAAGTTCGAAGTAAAGTGCATGAGAAAAGAACGACGAATGTACGATACGTTGGTAATTAATTAGCGAACAAATTGTAAGTATCGTAAATGAGATCGCGATTAAATCCTCCTCCGATACGGCGTCACGGCTCGGTGAACCGTGCGTAATTCGGCCA